AATGGATTATGGATGGGAGGTCGCTGGGCATATCAATCTCGGCGCTTGACTAATGTGACTGCGGGAGTCATGTGTACAGTGGTGTAGGTGGAAGAAGTTTAATTACGGATGGTTTTACGAGTGGCATGGGAATAATTAACAGGTGACTGAACAGCTTGCAGGCGAGAAGAAACGGCACAGATGACCAGTGTCGCCCAAATCCCCCAGCTCGCTCTCAACTGCAGATACATTCAGCAGGGGATTGTCGCAAATTCGGACATAGGAAAGTAGAAATTCAACCCCGTACAGACCCTCGACATTCGTCAGATTGGTGTTGCCCTAAACGTCGAGCACGCACCCCTCTCATCGTGAGCGTGGCACCATGGGCACTGTCATGCATGGCAGCGGTTATGGCCTGAAAAAGACGTACCGTAATCCGAATAAAAGGTCCCACCGAGGTCAGCTGACTCAGACCATTGACGTTGGTCAAGGCAGGATTATTCTAGCATTTCAAAGCAAATGAATGAGACACAAGACTCTCACTCGACCATGGAGCCGCATGCCGCACCACACAATACACTGCAGTCTCGTCGCTTGGCAAACGCAAAACTTCTGCCCGCCCACCCAAGACTGACATAAATGGAAAGATAGTCGCCAATCGAAGTCAAACGTCCAAGCCCATCCAAGTGGGCCAAGGCCGGGTTGAACTGCGTGCACAGCCCACAAAAGTCCATTGTTAAACAACATACACACCCAACAATGTCCTTGCTATCCGGCAACATGGCCCACGGCTTGAAACCTCAGGAAGGTCCCAAAAGTCTACTTGTGTTTTGCGTACATTCAAGTTGAGATACTCCCCGATTCGCTGGAGATTGCCAAGACCGTTGAGGCCTGCTAATTTGTTGTTACCCTACAAGAGTCAAGTGTTAGCTCCAAAGAAGCAACAGCGCAGGCACCCTCCAAGCCGCCGATGTGGCTGCTCCCACCCCGTGCCTCATCGTTGCCAGTCCGGCCGTTTTGCGAAACTTTACGTTGAATGAAACATAGCCACCAATTGAGGTCAAGTTGTCGAGGCCGTCCAAACTCAACAACTCGGCGTTATTCTACAAGATGAACCCAGCGTGAATGGAACGAGCACGAAAACGTGTGCCTCGCCTTGCCTCAAATCTTTTCTTCCTCTCGAGCTGAGGGAAGCAAAGCTTACGGCAATGGAGAGGAAGGAATTTAACAATGTCACCTTGCCGATCCCACCGATGGTTGTCAAAAGTCGATTGCTCTAATACATGGATGAGTCATCATCAACCATCGTCAGCTAGGCAACATGATGATTGCAGCTTGTCGCTTGACCGTGATATGCAAAGAACTGACATGAATGCTGATTTGATTGCCAATGCTCTCCACATTGCCAAGCCCATGCACATTCTTCAAACCCTGATTGTTCTTCAGTCAGAAGCACCCGACGAAGGTCATGGGCATGAGTGGAGCAAGCGTGTAGACGACAAACATAAAGTGCACCCAGCCGACCTCAGATGCAGACCTACACCCAAGACAAGGCCACCTTCAATGGTCTTCAAGTTGCCAAGTCCATCCACCGTCTCCAAAACCTCATGTTGCTGAAGATCAAATGGTGCAAGCACGTGAGCATGTGGCAGCTACCTTGCGCCCTGGATCAGCAAGTTGCTCGGACATACTTCTAAATTCAGATCGCCTCTGATCGAGACCAGGTTGGCTAGCCCATTCAAATTTGATAACATCGTATTGGCCTGCCCATCAACGCGCCAAAGCCAGTTGCCATGAGCTTGGCTTTGCATGCGATGGATAGACATCGCCTTCAAATGCTGCAAGTCGCGCGCTAAGGCATTTGACTTTGGTGCTTGGGGCATGTCAGGTTTACCCACACGAATTTTAAGTGAACCATTGATTGTCTTCAACTTTTCAAGCCCGTTGATGCTTGTTAAAATGCTATTCCGCTACAAACATGATCACCACTGCATGAGCTCCAATTTGTACACATGCCTCCAGCGAGCGTTAGGCAATGAGACGCGTGCATTCGGAAGACGAAGAGGGCAACGTTTTATGCGGCAGCAAAGACAGACTTTGACCAACAATTTCTCCCAACGTACCATAATATTGACATGACTGCCGATAAATGTCAGGCTGCTGAGTCCTGTCAAGCTCGTCAACAACTCATGCTCCTGCAGCAAACCCCATTGGGATCGACAAGATTACTTGTGCGTCTCTGCCGCATGATAAAAGCGTAAGTGCGTTAAAACCGAATCTTACGGATATCGTCAAGGAGTCGCCGATTGAGCTCAAGCTGCCAAAGCCTTCCAGATTGGTCAAAGCGTAATTGTTCTGCAGCCCAAGTCGTGCAGCAACCAACACGGATGGGATTCGTGAACACGAGGTCATAAACAACGCACTGCGTCCGCATCCCCTGGGCCACCTGTCCGCAACTGGCACTCTCGACAATTCCGTCCAAGTGCCCATTGCAGGGCAAGGAAAAAAGGGGGGCCAAGAGACTCACAGAAATCGATAGATAGTCGCCAATGTACGTCAAGTTGTCAAGCAGATCTATATTCGTCAAGACGGGGTTGTTCTACATGCAGGCAGGGCGCGCGTTGCGCGTTGAGCGTCCATCTCTCATGCACGAGAAACCAACCCGAAGAGTGATTTGGCCAGGGTTCTGAGAGGAGCCAAGCTCCGATGATGATGCCGTCAAATACTCACAAAAATCCGAACGTGGCCATCCACGTGTTCCAGCTTGTCAAACACCGCCAGGTCTGTTGCTACCAGCGATGTGCAATAGTACAGGTCGAGATTGCCCAGAATGTGCGTCACATTGGCGGGCACGGGCCCCAAGTTGCATCCCACATTGGCCGCATATGTCACAGCACCTACGGGCAGCGGCACGGTTGTACTCGGGCCTGGTGTGGTGGCTGCAGGAACAGCCCCACTGCAGAGGTCGCGCAGCTCGACCAGCTCGTTCAGCACGTCCACACCGTTGAGCACGAGTCGACCCTCGCGGCCTGCCGCTGAACTGTTGATGACAAGATTGCCGTCGTCATCGGTGCCAATAAAGGGGTCTTCCATTTCTTCCCGAGCCAAGACAGCGATGGATGCGACCAGGATCGCAATCATCGCACAGCGAATCACGGAACGTGACCTCCTCATGATGTGGTGTCGCCAGGTGCAAATGCCCGCATGTGGCAAAGGCGATCCACTGCACACACGAAGCCCGACTTTATTGCGCGTTCAAAGACATGACGCATCAATATCTCCCATCGGCGGCTTCAGTTCATCGCCGCAGCTGCCGTACGCATCACACACACACACACACACACACACACACACACACACACACACACACACAGAGAGAGAGAGCGAACACAACACAGCGTGTCCTCTCGCTCTGTCCGTTTCGGCGCCAAAATTGAAATTAATAATCAAACCCCCTTTTTAAAACTTTAAATCTTCTTTACATTTCGTACAGCATGTGCTTCAACTTGAATTTTTTTTTTTTTTTTTTTTTTTTGTTTTTTTTTTACTGTATTTTCATTTTTGAGCAACCAGGCGCGTTGCTTATCTCGTATTAGAAACGGTGTGACTGATACGATCCCCCTTGGGGAGTTGCTGACGGCCAAACGGCGCGGCAAATGCGGCTGCCTTGTTTCTATTCTTGGAGTATGATCGGGATGAGAGACCCCGAAGGGGCTTTAGAGAATAAATAAAATAAAATAACCAAGCTGGTTTGAAAAGCCGGACAGGAACTCGAAGGCTTTTCTTGCGTGTCTCTATGTGTCTCATAATATTATGGGTTTGGTTTTACACATAGAGCCCGTTCTAAACTTGCATGGCTTCTGAGTTTGAGATGGCGAAATTACGATATCATTGGCACGGAAGATAGAGTGGTCGTGAATTGGGAGCAGGGCAGGAAGAACGTGAAAATGTGAATGCGGAACATCAAAGGCACGAAACGTCAAGGACAGCGTTCAACAAAGGGGGACCTGGGACGCAAAGGACAGCGCCACGCAGACGCCAACCACGACAAAGTCGGGCGGGCGTCGCCCAATCAACAACGAATCAAAGTGAAAGCATAAGAAAAAGGAACAGGACACAGGACAAGAGACCAAACGCCGCCATCTGGCGAAGCGAAGAGGAAATCGCGGGATAATAAGCTTGCTTAGGAGCAACCGCATCCACCAGACTTTTCTTTGCTGTTTTGCGGCTTGGTGGGCTGTATCATTGGCATGTGAAAGATGTTGTAGGTGAGCAAGGCTGTGCCAGCTGCGCGCAGCGGACGTTCGTGCACAAGAGGCCAGAGCTTACGTCAATCACCGTGTCCGGCTTCTCGGGTGCTGCGACTTGCTTTTGCGACACAATGTGGTAGATCTCTGCGACAAGGGTGACAAAGTTGTACAGGCACAGTAAAGTAGAGTGAGGGTTTGTGAGCAAGAGAGCGCCTTTTTGCTGTGTTGTCACATCGAGATGCTGTTGTTGCGACGCACTTGTGAGGATGGTGGTGAAGGCATCATCGACGTTTTCAGCCTCAAGAGCCGAGGTCTCGATGAAGGAAAGATCATTTTCCTCTGTTGTTACCGGAAACAAACATACGATTGGCGTATTGCACAGGTGTGAGAGAGGCAGGAAGGGCAAGGTTGTGAGGGCAAAGGCAACATGCCACAGGCACAAACAGCGCGGCGAGGTGGAACGGACCAGCAAACTTTTGCGCCTCTTCGGTGGGCACGGCACGAAGATGCTTCAGATCACTCTTGTTTCCGACAAGCATGATGACAATGTTGCTGTCGGCGTGATCACGGAGCTCCTGTCGAGCAAAGCCACAGGCAAGCGGCAATTGAGCGAGCGTGCTTCCAAGGTCAGTCGGCAAGATGTCAGACGGCGACGGTGCGATCATGCGCCTCAAGTACCTTGAGCCATCGCTCCACGTTCTCGTAGGTCAGGTGCTTGGCAATGTCATAGACGAGCAGGGCGCCAACGGCACCACGGTAGTAGGCGCTGGTAATGGCGCGATAACGTTCCTGACCGGCTGTGGTTGTGGTGATTATGGGGGCGAAGGAAACATGAGGAGGGGCGAAGGAAAGCTCAAGGCAAGCGGGAAGGGGGCTGTACCTGTATCCCAGATCTGCGCTTTGATGGTCTTGTTCTCGACCTTGATGGAGCGGGTGGCAAATTCGACACCAATTGTGCTCTTGGACTCGAGGTTAAACTCGTTGCGAGTGAAACGCGACAGCAGGTTCGACTTGCCGACACCAGAGTCACCAATCAAGACAACTGGTGGGAGTTACCACGATGGCAAGGGATGACGGAGCCGGCACAAGGCAGAGGGATCAAGTGAGTCGAGTCACAAACTGGCAACCATTGGTGCGGTCGAGGAGGGGAATGACTCACTCTTGAAAAGGAAATCGTACTCGTCATCGGCCGCCATGATGTCCGGTATCAAACCAAGCGAAGATACCTGGCATGCAGAGGCAGGGGCAGGGGCAGGGTAAAGGTATGGTTGAGATGGTGGGTTGGGAGGGGCAGGGGGCCGGAGAGGCAAGAAAGAAAGAAAGAGATGAGATGAGAGATGGAACAGGAGGTTTCAAGAATGGCAATGGGGAAAAAGGTGTTGTTGTAAAATGAAAACACAGATGGTTACAAAATGCACAAGAGTCACTGAGCGAGGGAGAGGCATGCCGAGGTTGAGCTCGCAACAGAACAAGGAGGCAGTGCGGGGGGTGCGCGCGGTCTCTTGGTCAAGCAGGAAACAGCCACCGTGGCACAAGCGAAAAAAAAAAAAAAAAGGAACAAGAAGCGCAACAAGATAGATCCAATGCCATCAAGACAAGTCCAAGAACATGCCCGAGGGCAACGAACAGGTCCCACAGAACGCCGTCTCAAGGAGCCAGTGCCTGCGGTTCCCGTGATCTGGGGCCCAGGTCCACTGCCAAAAAAGCAGATCGACGACTCGTTACACACACACACATTCGGAGGCCAAAACAACAACAACAAGACGGCAATGATGCTACTGGTTGGTCCACGTCACATGAACAACGGCAAATGCAGCAATCAACACCATGTGCCGATCAACAATTCCCCCGCCTTTGAATGAAGTGCCCGCCTGCCACGAGGTCTAAGGCGGGGACCCGGAGGGATCACGGTCCGGCTGCCATTTCACCATCGCTCACTCACCTCACACACACACACACACAAGAGAGAAAAAAAGGGAAGATCCCTAAAGCAACCGCCTTTATCTGTTCAGAACATGTGTTTTGCATCTGATTTTTTCGAGGACGGTGGGTTGCTACTTGGTGTTAATGTCAGGTACGAGTGGTAGCACGGCTCGGGCAGCCGAGTGCCACAGCTGTTTTCGCCATGTCTTTACAACAGTTGTGGCTGAAAGCACAAGAGAATCAGTTTCTCTCTCCCTGTCCGCCTTTCTCTCTGCAATTTTTTCGACTCTCTGCTTTTCTCACTCTTGAACACGCCCTCTCTGCATTTCCTTTCTCTTGTACAATGTTTTCTCTCTCTGACTCTCTGACTCTCTCTTTCTTTCTTTTTCTCTCTCTTTCTCTTTCTCTCTCTCTCTCTCTCTCTCTCTCTCATTTTGTTCTCGCGAATATTTTGTTGACGGCGGTGGACAGTGTGTCTGTGTGTGTGCGTTTGTGGGTGGTGAGCGTCTGCGGGTTCTTGGACGGCTCAGAGCACACGGATAGGGCGTGGTGGACTTGTGGTTGGAGATATCATACTAGTGGCCATGGCGCGGGGTCGTGGCGGTGCGGGTGCCTCAGCGGCGGGTGGTCGTCGAGCTGGTGGTGGGCGCAGCGGGCGGTCGTCGGGTAGCAAGCCCAAGACGGCGGGCGCGCAGGCAGCCACGGCTGCCGCCCTCAAGCAGAGCTTGGGTCAAGTTCGCCTGGCCAGCACCACCAGCATGTCTCTCTCGGAGCGGTAAGTCTTTTGAAACTCCAAAGATCGGCCCGTATGATTTGTGTGTGTGTGTGTGTGTGTGTGTGTGTGTGTGTGTGTCTGTCGTCAACTGTTTTGTGTGATGGTGCAACCGCCCTCTCGGACTCACGCACGATTCGGGGGCTTGTTGATTCCCTTAGGTTCTCTAAAATCGGTGGTCCTGTCAAGCTCACAGCGGCTTCGGCATCGGGCAAAAAGGCCACCAAGAAGGGTGCCTCGGCCACGGGACCCACAGCGCAAAAGAAGACGCCCACAAAGGGCGCCAAGAACGCCAAGGGCGCAAAAGGCACCAAGGGTGCCGCTCCCGCCAACGCCAAGAATGGCGCCAAGGGGGGAAAGAAGGGCAAGGGTGAGGCTGCCAAGCCCACTCCGGCCGACCGAGACTCGCTCGACGCCCAGATGAACAACTATCGTGGCCAGACCGCTAGTGGCCTCAACGCCATGCTCGACGAGTACCGTTCCAAGCGCACCGAGTCCGCCGACCCTGTGACCTCGGCCGTTGATGATGCTGCCATTCTCGGCGTGGAGGATTCCTCCGTGGTGGCTTAAAAGTACTCACATGTCAGTATCCATTTGCTTGCGTCTCTTCCCCTCGGCTCCTCAACCTTTTGATCTGCGGTCCCAACACGGCTTCCGGCTCGGGAAACAAGCAAGAGGTTGCAACGTTACACCCATCAATTGACAATAAAAGACTCGTGATTTTTCGATCTGGATGGCTTGCTTGGCAAGCCAAATGGCGGGCTGTGTCATCAACCCCAGCCCGTGAAGAAGACGTCTCGCAAGCAACTCGTGCACCAACACGGAAACACCATTACAAGGCCGTGGTGGCGTCGGCCTCGGCCGGGATGGGACCACCATTTGAGGGTTGGAATGAAGCAGGCGTCATTGTCACCGGCATGGTCAGAGGTGTCGGGGCCATCGGCCCGGCATGCGAGCCGAGTGCTGGCCTCGATGCCGTTGGCTTGGTCGTCTCAACTGGCAACGCGGCGGCTGCACCATCGCCGAGGCCTTGCTCCATGTCGTCATCCGCTTCAGCTTGGGCCTCGGCTCGTGCGGCCTGCTCCCGACGCAGCGCACGCCGCTGCTCTAGCTCCTAGACCCAGATTCATCGCATCCGTGCCGTGAGGCGGAGGATCACATGCATGTGCTGATACACAAGGGCCAAGCAAGCCCACTCACTTCTCGGTGTGTTTCGATAAAATCGTCCAGGACATAATCATATTTAGGCCGGGTGATGCCCAAGTTGCGCGCCAAGGATTCACCGACAACATCAATCACTGTCAATGCCCGCCCAGTCGGTTGATGGATGAGCAAACTGTCGGTGCAGCCAAGAAGCCGTGTGTGGATGGTCCAGGGCACCCACCGTACAGCAGGCCAAACCCCAAACGCCAAGAATAGCGTGCAGCGCGAGTGCCCCATCCTTCGTCCTCCTCTGGTGCCAGGGTTGACCAATGCGGTTCGGCCTGAGGCAAGGCCGCGGACATGAGACGTCGTCATCCGGTGGGATCTGTTGACAACAAGCACGACCGGGGGCGGTGGCGGTCCTACCGGTGGGGCGGGCGCACTTCGAAGGGATTCGACAGGTACGCCATGTTGATCGGCCACGGCCTGCGCCAAGCTATCCAGATCTTCTTGGCCCAGCTCTCTTGCATATGCCAATGCTTCCTGCTCCACGGGTCCCCACGATGGCGACAGGCAAGAGCCATGAATACGCCCCTCATTTTTTTTTTCCGGGACCGCTCGCGCTCGCGCCCGCTTTGCTGACGGCGTCGAGACGACCCGTCCAAAGCCCCTACCAGCAGGCCTCGAGCACATCTCACCTGCTCCAACGAGGTGACGTAGGTCCCCTCGACCCCCGAGTTGACAATCCGCTCCTCCAGCGTCGTCATGGCTCTGGCAGCGTCCGTCCGTCGGCGCCCTCCGTCCCCACTTGCTCTTCTTCGAAGTCGTGCTGACAATGCAAAGACTCTTGAAAATGCGTCTTAAAGTCACACTTGCTTTTACTTGATTTCGACAGGTACTAGATATTTTGCTGCAAAAACCATTCATCTCATTGGACGGCGTCGAGTTGGCGGTGCTTGTATCGACGTTGCGTTGGACGTCGCGTCGGGCGGGAACAGCGGCAGAGGCGACGATTGAAGGCGAACAGGATGACATCTGTCTGCTGCCCGCACGGGCTGGCGTTGCTGCTGGCTTTTGTGGCTTGCAACACGATGCTTCCTGTGGTGGGCACTGCCCTGGGGACCTTTGACCTTGGCGAACATCAGCAGCCCGTCGAGCTGCAGGTGGTCCGAAGCCCGCCCCCGCCTCCGGCAGCAATGCAACAGGAACAGTGGCTCATACAGCCCTCGGACACTCGATACGGCGGCTGTCGTGCCGCACAGCGTACGAGCCCCAAGGTGTTCAATCCCGCAGCCCAGTCCTGTCTTCCTTACTACACGGATTCAGCGACGGCGGCCTCCTACCAGCTCTGTCCTGGACACCATCTTCAGATCCGCCATCAACAAGCACAGGGGCAACGGCGCGCCACCATCATGCTGCCTTTTATTCGTTCAACATCTGCGCAGCTGGCCTTTTATGCAGCCCCGCCCACCCAGGCTTGTCCTACCAATGCGAGCGCGCACTATCACGCCACTGTTCACTACCAGTGCCATTACCAGGATCAGGATAAGGTGCTTGGTGTTGTTCAGCACTCCAACTGTCACTTTGCCGTACGCATAGCCTCTTTCGCGGCCTGTCCCCCGCCGCAGCTTGTCACCTGCCATGCACCTCCAGTACCTCGTCCCAAGCTTCCCTTGTATCCCGCCTATGTCGGCCGATATACTTGTCAAGGCTATCAAAGCATCAAGCTCCGCACGTTGGCGTATGCATGCCCGCGCTTGCATGCTCCCTACTCAGCTCACCGTCAATGTCGCCACCCCAAGGCCTCCCTTGCCACAGTTCTCTTGTATTTTGTGCACACCGGTACCCATGGCGCCTACTTGGCCACCAGCATGGTACGGTTTTCTTTCTTTTCTTTTTTCTTGTTTTTTTGTTGGTTTCGGGTCGATCGCACAGCTGATACCCACGTGCCCACTTGAATGCATGTCATGGTGTAGATGATTCCGGACCGTGGGTTTCGACTTGAGTTCCACCGTTGGCTGTTGCATCCTGACGGATTTGGCCCCGTATCCATCGACCTGCGCTCAACTTTCAGTAAAAAGACGTACGTCTGTAGACACATTTGTCTTTTTTCTCCGCGTGGCCCATCTTCTGTTGACAGGGGCTTGCTGGTCATCAATTATCTAAACCGATGTCATGTATGAACAAAGGTTGATCGGAGTCGTCTCGGAATGTGGCAGTGGGCCAACCCATTTGCGCGCAACATCACCCAGCAACCCTGCCTTTGCTTCGGTGCAGCACCTCCTCGGTACGTTGGTTCTTGCCGTGGGTCATGTTCTGCTTGGCGATGGCGCGTGCTTTTTAAACCTCTGGTAAACACGACATGCATGGGTGCAGCCTCGGACCCAACATTGCTTGCACATCCCGTGTCTCGAGGAGACAAAGCCGACATTTTGCTCGCCACTTTGGAGGATCTGTTGGCCGTAGTGCTTCCAGAACAACAGCCCGACAAGCCAGATGACAGTGCGCCATACGTCAAGGACAGTGCCAACGCCAAACTAAAGCAAGGAACAAAGGGTCAGCGAGGCTCCACCAAAACCACGACGGCGACCCACAGCTCCAAGATAGAGCATTCTACGCCGTCAAGCCAGGATGCTGCAACTGCACATCGCCGCTTACACGAGGAACAGCTCGAGCGTCACCACCGGCGGCATCACGATCAACAGGCGACCATACATCCGGCGAGCCAGGGCCCCGCAAACACCATTGCCGACGAGCATGCACGCCTGCACGAGGAACATGTTCGACACTTTCACAGCGCAAGAGTCGCTCCACACGCGGAGCCACAGGCAGCTCAAGAGCACCCAGAGGCTCCGTTAGAACCCGCACTGGCTCGCGAGCCTGCCGCTCAAATAAGGGAACCCAATTTGCCGGGCGAAGAGCACGATGCGATGGCGCTGCACCGTGAGGCTCATGAACGCGCAGTGCGCCAGAGCCACGAGCAACATGCACAACATCATGCCGAGACTGCCCAAACGGCCACGGAACAAGCGGATGTGCTTGCCCTCTTAAGCACGTTGATGGATGCCCTAGCTTTGGCTCCCGAAGAGACGGTCGGTGCACTGACGCGTCGTCGTGCATCCTTGCGCCATCGTCTTGCCCTGGCCGAGTTGCAGGAGGATCGTGACAACAAACTGGGCACATCAGGCTCTTTTTATCTGTAAGGAATCGACTGTAGACTGGCACGCCTGCTGAGCAGGCACCCAGCAAGGGCATCCGAATAGAGTTGATTCGATTTTTTTATCACAACCAACTGATCTCCACGTAGCCCCAAGCACCTGCTTTACACGAGCATTCTCAGCCAACCACACCTCGGCATCCCAACTCCATCAGGCTGCCTTGACCGCGTCTCCTTCCATAGTTCATCTCACACGTTGCCCATAAGCTCTTTTGATCAAACGAACCCAGTTTTGATTTGAGTCGATCTCTTCATGCCCTTTAAATTTGGCTTGGAAATAACAATTTGTTAAACCTTCACAACTCTCCTCTCTGTTTTTTTTTCCAGTTTTCTCTCTTTTTTTTTTCCTTTTTTGGCGGCGACGGGGTGCGCACGGAACGTGGTGAGGAGAGAGAGAGAGAGAGAGAGAGAGAGAGAGAGAGAGAGAGAGGGCTGGTGGGCCCTATTGGGGTGGGATAAACCAGCCAACATGGCGCGTCGCCCGTCTACTTCACATGCAAAGAAGAAGCCGCCAATCGTGTATGCCAGCGCGGCTGAGGCCGAGTACTTTGCTCGCAAGCCCAAGGGCGCCTGCTCTCCCTACGCCCTTTTCATGGTACGGCCCGGTCTCCCCGGGGCCCGTCTCGCCAGTTGCATGCACGGCGGATCAAGCCGTAGTGCGGTTGTTCGCTGTCATCATGACTGGCATTTTTTTTACTGTTTTCAGCTTTGAACAAGCCCCGCCAGGGTCCATTGTGTCGTGAGGCTCACCTTTACTATAATCTCGCTTCCTACCTAGGCGGATCATTGGACCGCGACCAATGCACAAAACCCCAACCTGAGCTCACGAGAAGTGACCAAGCTCGTTGGCCAGGCCTGGCGAGATTCAACTGACGAGCAGCGCAATGTTTGTGCCTTGATTTCTCATTCCCCTGCTTACTGCCGTGGCAGCTTTGCGCCCATAAGCAATTCTGACACCTCTTGACACCTCGGCTCGTGACTGTGGCTCGATGCATCATTCCCACAGGTCTACCAAATGCGCGCCAAGGCCGATCGGGACCGGTACAACGTTGAATTCGCAGAGTGGGTGGCCCAAAAGCCGCCCGAGGTGGATGAAGAATTGGTGCGCAAACGTGCCAAGGTCGTTGTTCAGACTTCGCCCGATGGCACGCCCGCACGAAAATCGGGCTCTCGACCGAGCAACCCATCACCCCTCATGTCCGTATCGGGAGCCCTCGCGTCTTCACGTCCCTCAAGCGCGGCCAGCAACACCAGCAAGGCTGAAAGCAACCGCCGCCGCCCCAAATCTTCAGGCCGGTCATCCCGTCCCCCTTCAACCACCCCTCCCAGTGCCGCCCCGACCCCCGTACCCACCTCGTCTCCGTCTCCAACGCCAGCCCGGGCCTTGGGTTCAACATCAGCTTCTGCCTCATCGCGCAAGGCCTCAAACCGCCCCGTTGGCAAGCGTTCTTCCAGCACCGTCTCGGCCAGCGCGACACGGTCGTCTGCCGCCGAAGCCTTTCCGCCTACGCCGAAAAGCAATGACGCATCTCGATTCGTGATTGAGCGGCATAGCCAGCCCGTCTTGGCCTTGCCCCCGGATGATGAAGACATGTTTTGTGGCATCTGTACGCAGAGCTTTACCACTGTTCATAACAAGGTACGCCTCGCCTGTATGTCCACAGGTTTAAAAGTACCCAGCTGACTTGTCGTGGTCTGCCGACTTTGCAGCAAGAGCACATGAGTAGTAGGCGACACCTGCAGCTTGCGGCCCAACATGGTGACCGCCACCTGCCTGTCAAGGTGTTTACAGACGAGTTTATCAACTTCCATCGAGGTACGAACAGGCCTGAAGCACATCCGGCCGCGCCGTCACGCATGCCAATCATTATCCTTGATGTCTGACACCAAACATCCTTGACAGCTCGAGTGACCAGCTTGAGGACATTGGAGCGAGAAATGGAAGGTCTCGATGCCGAGTGCGCAGAGCTTCGAACCACGGTTGGTTTCCGAGTTGGGCAGCGACAATTCAGCTTCTAGGCGATGCATCTGATTATCAGGTTATGATTCTAGGTGGAAGAATTGCAAGTCACTCAGGAGAGCATGCGTTTGGAAAAGCGACGTGTGGAACAAAGCAATCGTGACCTGACTGAGCGCCTGACTGTGGCATACGAGCGCATCCGCCAAGCCTTGGCCAATTGTAGCCCCCCGCTGGCAGATCATCAGTTGCCCAGTCTAGACCTCTCCAAGGATCTTCAACAACAAGGTGCTTATGTGACTGTGTTTGCCATGTGTTATACTCTGCGTTGTGTGTTCTAAACCAGTCTGACCTGTGGCGTTTGTGTGTGCGGCTTTGCCTGCAGACATTGAGGCCTTGCAGACGCCCCTGCAAGCGTTGCTGGCGACTGTGCGCACACGATCTGCTCATGACCCGGTGCGGCAGCAAATCTTGACGGCCATTGCTGCGATCTAGCGGCCGGCCAAGAGTTGTCACAAAGGGGCCGATTCGTGCATTTTGTCACTCAGATAATCTGTGGCTGGCTGGCCAGGCTTTCCGTCCGTTTGGCGGTGACTTGTCACGGCCGTCAGGGCGCTGTGTGTTGCGTGTATTGTGTCGTGCCTTTGCTCCACCGAATTTAAGGAGTAGCAAAAAACAGCTGTGAGGAGAGGGTGTGTTTTCTTGTTCATAATTCACGACGACTCGATTATACTCTCAACTCAAAGCAAGACACGCTACGGATCCGAGGACAGGTGCACGGGCCATCGCGGGCTGGAAGGACAGTTGACAGCACCCTCACACAACACCTCATAACTGCTGCTTTCTGATTGACCCAAAAAGGCTCTACAAAGTCCAGCATTCCAAAGTGACCTCAAGCAAGCTTCAGGCTCGATGCGGCTTGGGCGATGTTGGCAAGACGAAAGAAAAAGGAAAAAAAAGAAAGAAAAAAAGATAGGTGTCCCAGCTGATCTTACCGTTCTTCCTGAATCCGAAAGGTAAAGGTCGACTCGGGGGTGCCAATAAACTTGTGCGCTCGGGCGCACACAATCTGGTCCAGAATAGCCAGCTATCGAGCCAATTTTCAAATCAGCGTGCAAGCAAAAAGTCCACGGCAACAAGGTGCAAGTTGCTTTTGCCCATACCTGGCCATCACCAAGGGATGATCCGGCGGGCGGCGTCAGTCGTACGAGGGGCACGTTCTGCGCAGCCAGCTGCGCGGTCAGCCAAGCCATATCCGGATCACTGGTGTCAGCATCAGAGGCCAAGAAAATTGAAGTCAAATTTGCATCTGCTGCAAGGGCGTGAAGGAGCTGGCGAGCAACGAGCTCGATGGCAGGCATTCGCCCGTGTGCTTTGAAATCGCCCTGGCGGAGGTGGAGAGCAAGATAGGCTCGAGACCCGAAATTGGTGTGGATGAATTCCTCGGCTGTACGGATCAGATCTGCATGAAACTGCATGCTGTGTACAAACTGGTAAGCTTTGATAAAAAAGTTGCACACTGCGGCAAGGAGATGGCCCAAGAGCGAAGTTGGGTGCTTTATACCTGCGCCGCACGCGCCAGTATGCGGGTCCGCTAAAACGATGATGCATCAAGCTTTCAAGCCGTGCCAGAAGTACACTCGAGGTGGCAGGTGGCAGCTCATGTTCCAGATAGGGCTGCAAGGTGGCGGTGGTTCCCATGCATTCGAGACAGCGCCGCTCAGCAGCCACCAGCTCGTCGCCATGACCCCAGAACCATCCCGAGTAGCCCTGGCGACTTGAATCGTAGACAAGGGCCCAGGCTATGCGTCACGAATGGTGCAGTGAATGTTGATTTTCCGGCCAAGTGTATGCAGTCAGAACCGTCAACGTTGGAGCACAGAAGGTCCACTTACGATCTGATCCCAGCTGGCAGGTTGGGTCCTCACGCATATACATTTGCGCATCGTCGGGAAAGACCATGCGCAAATGCAGGGCCATGTCAATGTGAACCACGTGCTTCCGTGATTGCCGCATTTGCATGGCGAGCCAGTCATGTAACTCCACGACTGGTAGAGCCTGTTGATTCAGGGGATCAATGCAGGCGGATGAATGGATGAATGGGATCGATGGCGGGATACCCAGAACAAGCCACAGCTCGCGCACACGGCATTGCGAGAGACCTGGTTGAGAAGAGTCAGGTTGAAAAAGTCGGACCAAGGGGCTGGACGGACTGGCTTACGCCAGTGAGGCGGCGCAAATGGGGGCAGGACCAGGGTCCAGGGTGGCTCGGCAGCGCCCCGCTGTTCGTTGAGCCTTTGCACCAGCTCGGCGGCCCGCAAGAAGACATCGCGTGCCAAATTGAAGCCCTCGCCCACATTGACACTGTACAGCAAATATCTTTGATCCGGAAACGGCAACTGCATCGATCGATACGCATGTCCAGAATCCTCTCCACCGCAAGCCTGCTCCTCCCCTCCCTGCCCGACCTCACAACCCGCCACGAGCACGGCGATCCAGCTCAAAGCCCAAACCCAATTCATCAGTCCCAAAGCTCCTTCTTGATCAAAATGTTTGAAACCTGAATTTTTTATCAGAACATGCACTTTTTCAAAACCACTTGTTGAACGATCGCAAACAACAACTCCGACCACATGTGATCATGTGCAATTTCCTCCCCGTACATTAAGGGGGTTAGAAGGTATCTATTGTTATTCTAAAGTTGAAATTCAAATTGAAAATTTTACATGCGCATGTACACTGATGTTTGTAAAACTTTACATCTGATGTGATGTTGTTTAAATTTTCATCTCACCATCATCATGTTATTGGACAGACACGCACGTCTACCAGATGGATTGGTTCTTTCGCTTCGGGACATGAACATGTCAATAGTGCCGGAGGAGGTCGATCAGGGAGGTGTCGGTGGGATACCAGGCAATTTTGCTGTGCGTTAGGCCAGCGGTGCCGCTGAGAACATCCACGTCCCCGTCTTGGTCAAGGTCAGCTGCAAAGATGGTGGTCAGCGCGTCTGTTGTTGTGGCGATGATTATTCGAGGGGAAAATGAGCCATCCCTCATGTTGCGGTACCATGTAATGCTTTGGTTGATATAGCTGGCGCCGAGCACGTCGAGTCGGCCATCCTTGTCCACGTCTGCGGCAAGTATTGTGGAGGCACCGGTTGCTGCCATATCGATGGGATTTGCCGCAGAAAACGAGCTGTTTCCAAGGTTTCGATACCAAGCCAGCTCGTGGCCGCTGAAGCAGGCACACAAGACATCCAAATTACCGTCAGCGTCAAGATCAGCTGCATGGACTGCAGTCGCACCGAGGCATTCCGTGCTAATGATGATTTGAGCAGAGAAGGTGCCGTTGCCGCGGTTCCGGTACCACGCAATTTTGTTATCACTATAGCTGGCACTCAGGACGTCCAGTCTGAGATCGTTGTCCAGGTCGGCAGCAAAAACAAAACGCGCCTCATTGGCTTGGTTGCTGAGGACACGTCGGCTTGAAAAGGTGCCGTTGCCGTAATTCTGATACCACGCAACCACGTGGTCTTGAACACTGGCACTTATCACGTCAACATGGCCGTCGCTGTTGAGGTCGGCTGCGTGAATTCCAAACGCGCCAAATGCATCAGACGCAAGGACAATTGGCGCGGAAAAAGAGCCGTTGCCATGGTTGTGGAACCAAATGATGCTATCGTCCTTGAAACTAGCGCTCAGAACATCAGCAATGCCGTCACCATCAAAGTCGGCCGTGACCACGGAGCGTGCCCCCCTGGTTTCGTTGGAAATGATGAGCTGAGCGGAGAAGGAGCCCTGGCCCTCATTGCGGTACCAGGCGACTTTGTCATCATCGTAGCTCGCGCTGAGCACATCCAAGTCACCATCCTCGTCGAGATCTGCGGCAAACAACGAGCTCACGCGCTGAACGGCCGTCGTAATCACCTGTCGACCAAACTCCGGCAGGTACAGCTCAGGGTGCAGGCGCACGAGCGACCGCACAATGGCCGACTGCGCAACCATGTCCACCCCATTGATGACGACGCGGTCAGTCGCGTTGATGTAGAGGGTACCATCCTCCCCCACGTTGATCGACGGCTCATCCACCTCCATGCAGGTCGCCAAGACACCCAGCGCCAAGCACATGGACAGTCTTACTGCTCCCCATCCCCGGCAGTAGCGACGAGCTCGTTCCATCTCGACGCGGGAGGAGGCACGATAAAATGAAGACTTAGTAAAACAACAAAGTTTAAAATTGCACACACACACACACACACACACACACACACACACACACACACACGTGTCATATAAAAAGTCTGACATAAAATGAAAATTTAATTTTGATCACACACCACAGATCTGATGATGTAAACAATGTCATGTTTTATCAACATGTAAAATTGTAAATTGCATAAAAACCTATAAATTTCAAGGTTCGATAAAGCACTACATGTAGTTCAACTGACCACTCCCGCCGAGATCGACAAACGCCGCTGGCTGGGACGAACTGTGCAAAACTATGCAAATCCGTGCGATCCATGTGATGCCGTCTTGCGAGCAGAGAACATTTTGATATCGTATGTTGCTAGTTTGGCAACCACCCGAACCTGCAAATTCCTGATCTCTTCTCACTTTGCAACTCATTCCATCTTCCCATTTTGCCCGCTTTGCTTGACGCTTTCTCTCTCACTCTGACTCCCCCTTTCACTCATCAATCGGCGCGAATCACCATCTTTGGCATCCATGGGATCTAGTAGCACGCACCGTCAACATACGGTCATCAATCGGTGCGAACATTGGCATCCACGGGTGCCGTCAACATCGACGATTCGGATGAATATGAAATGCCTCGCTCTGTCTCGAGTGTTGCTCGTGGCTTGTGTGTGTGTGTTTGGCACAAGTATGCTTGGTCTTTGTGGTAACGATTGTTCATCGTCAGGACATTGACCTCTTCAGGTTGTTGGTAATGATTTGTCCTTTTGGGTTTTTTGGGGGAGAGGGACTGAGACGTGGGAAAGAACTTGGTATCACTTACATGTACATGTCCGTGTAAGTGTGTTTGAAGCATCAGAAACCAGAAACCGGTGTGAATGGGCATTTTTCCTCTTTGCCTGTTTTGATTTTTCTTCTTCATCGACATTAAGATCGACATTGAGATCGAGATCGGGATCGACAGTGAGATCGAGATCGGGATCGACAGTAAGATCGAGATCGGGATCGACAGTGAGATCGAGATCGGGATTGACAGTGAGATCGAGATCGGGAGGATCGGAATCGGGATCGGGATCGGCATCGGTATTGGGAGCTGACTCCTTCAGTTATCGTATCTTGGCTCTTGGCTGAACGCGCCCGATTTCTTGTGTATGTGGTCCTGTTCAAGGGCTTGTGACGATGCCAAAAGTTGGTGGACCAAGTTCAGTGACCGCGTCGTTTTAAGTTTCCTTCTTTCTGCGTGGAGAGATCACGTCACAGTACAGTAACATTGACTACGCCTCAATCCTGATCCGACAACACCGGCCATCTTATTTTCGTTCTGCGTGGTGCGAGTGCCACGAAGATCAACGTCAACATCAACTACGCCTCGATCTCAACTTGGACACCCACCCCGCAACCCGTCGAGTTCTCAGGTGAGTCCGACACCTGGTTGTCAGACAATAACAGAAGGTATGAGATTCGTTCGGAGGGAGCTCATTCATTTGGCAGTGTGCTCGACAGAGACCGTGAACATGAATGATGCAGACAGCGATTCGCTGTACTGGGCATGTCGGTCATTGAATCCACAACCACTGCAGCTGATGAATGAATTGAACAGTTGGGATGCCACTTTCAAAGATAAGGTACGTCACGTCACATTGTACCCGTTTCAGATCATAAGCCTAGACGTCATGGCACGACCTGATACTCATTATACTGTGTACTTGAACGTAATGGTGACGCATCAACCCATAGCGCGGCTGGACACCATTTCACTGGGCCTGTTTCCACGGTCAGTTGGAAGTGGCGGAGAAGCTGTTGGAGCACGGCGTTGAGGTTGAAGCCAGGAACAACGTCAGTGTCTCCTTCTTCTGCCCACATTCAACTTGAATGTCGTCATCATGCGTCTTTTGATACATTGTAACTAACACTCGTTAATGGTCCATCGACCCACAGAGTGGCAGGACACCGCTGCACTGGGCCTGTGGCCAAGGTCATGTGGACGTGGTAAAAATGCTGCTGACACACGGCGTTGACACTATAGTCAGAGACAAAGTTGGTACTTATCTCTTCTCTCTCATCCTTTTCCTGCTCTGCTTGTTGTGTTTCTCTACACCCTACTTGCTGTACATCTTCGAGGTCTTTCTTTCATACCGCCTTGCCTCGGCCCCTTTCGGTTCTGCCTGTGACTCGCCTTGTTCTTGCCCGTGTTTGCTAGACCTTGCCTTTTTCCCTGGCATTGCTTGTGTATACCCATCCTGCATCTGTTTGTTTCAGTTGTGAACCGCTCGACCTTGAGCGGTTTTGCACATTCTGAGTGCTTCCTGAATATATTATTATATCGGATATTTTTTTTGTAAAGAAAAAAAGCATAACGCTCGAGTTTATTCGTACATTGCTGTCCAGCTCACACGCTTTGATCGCTTGATTGTGGCCATGTTTTCAGGATGGCCAAACGCCCCTCGATCTGGGGCGTAAAAACGGGCATGGCGATGAGCTAGAGCCCATGATTGCTGCCTACGAAGCCAGCCTCCCATGGCTGCTGACCCTGCCTAGCCTCGTACCAACCCTCGAGGTTAGCCTGTTCCAACATTATGCTTATACATGCGTCCCCATTGAAAACGCTTCTCTAATCCGAGTGCATACCCACAACAAAACTTCAAAACATCAGACCACGGCCTCCATTGTGCTGACGGTGGAAGCTTGGCTCAAGCCGCTTCTGCCCGAGCATACCACCACCCATCCCTTCTCGCACCTCGATGCATTTATCAGCGGTGCCATCAAGCAAGATTTCAATCCTGCGGCAGCTACTACCTTCCAGAAGATCATCAATCAAACTCCACCAGACTTCCCTGACATGGACTGGTCTGCTTTTCAAGCCACCATCACACAGGCTCTCAACGCACTCGAACAGGCACTGGAAGCGCCCGAAGCGTTGAGCAGCCGCTTGAAGCAATTGGATCCCAACAGTGACAGCCAGGACTCAGTGCTGCAAGAGCTGCACGATATCATTGCTGGGTTCGAGCTGCAGCCAGTTCTTCTTGAGCTTCAGGCCGTGCTGGCAGCATGCCCCGCTCCACCCACCGCGCCATTAATCGCGCCTGAGACACCACCCACCGACCTGGCAGCGGCCCTGGGCAAAGTGATCCCTCTAAGCGGCGTAGAATCCAAGCGTCAAGAGCTGCTCACCGGTGCCAACAGCAACCTCAAGCACCTAGTGCTTGCCTTGATCGATGCCCTGGGCGCCGTGGCAAAAGCTGGAACCAGCGAGACGATTCATCGCGTGGAAACGCTACGGCAATGCGCGCAATGCGTGGATGCAAGTGCACCGCCTCCAGCCGAGGCTTTGCCCGAGGCCTGGGAGGAGCTGTGCCAAGCTCACGAGAAGCTGAGCCTGCTCGAGCACAATGGCCTTCAAAAAATTGCTCAGTGGCAACCACCTACAGACTACGAGCATCAGGATTGGTACTTGGCGTTTGTGCACCACAAGTCGCAAGCTCTGCTGCAGCAGTTACAAGACATGATTGACTGGCAGGCCACGACGCTCTCCGTGTTGACCTCGTGCATGAGTCATGTGAACAGCTTGACTCAAGACGTTGATGATGAATCGGCTGCTGCCCACGAGGAACTAACCAAGGTGGAGACTGAGATTCAAAACAGCAGCGCAGCTCTACAGCTCGTGCCCAAAGTTCTTCGGTCTGCTCTCGAGCAAGAACTCAAAAAGCTAGAAACGCAACGCGACACCTTGCGACAGCAATTATCAGATCAGCCACGTGTGGACCACGTCGTAGAGCTCGCCCGGCTTCTGCAACAACACTTCCCAGCGCTGCTGGTCTTTTTGCACCCTGAACAGAGCACGCTGGGAGCGCGGCTCCGCACAGTGCTTGGCCCCGACCTTCCAGCCAGTCTGATCTTGGAGGCCATGACTGAAGTGGACCGCACACTGTCACTCTCCAACCTGGGTCAGCTTGATCTTCATTATAATCAAAATCACAAGGTGTACAAGACCCACGCCGTGATACCAGATTTTGGGGAGCAAGATTTGGCTGTCAAGGAGTATGCATTTGCTCGGCAACACAAACAAGACCAGTGCCGTACATTCCTGCGTGAACTCCGCGCCATGCGGCAGCTTGAGCACCCACACATTATCCCGGTCCTCGGTGCGCTCGTGGACGTACACAGTGGCCACCCGAGCGCATACCTGGTACAGCCATGGTGTGCACAGGGTGATTTGCAGCAGTGGCTCAGCACGGCACGGCACCTGGCCACCTCGACCGTAATTGCAAGTCTGATGACTCAACTGCGCACGGCCCTGGCGTTTATGCATAGCAAGGGCCTGGTGCACCGAGATGTCAAGCTGAGCAACGTCATGCTGGACGGTGCAGAGGACCAGCCCGTCGTGCGGTTGGGCGACTTTGACATTACCAAGGCCGCCGCTGAAGCCACCATGCTACCATGTACGGCCACCGCGTCGTCGGGCACGGCGGGCTACGTCGCACCGGAGGTGCTTTTTGGCCGGGGTCGTGTGGGGGCGCGTCCGGCACAAGATGCCTTTTCCTTCGGCTGTGTGCTGTACAACACCTACATGTACCCACAAACGGTATCGCCGGCTCAGTCACGAACCGATGCGGTTGTGGATCATTGCAGATGGGATTTTTAAGCGGGAGATGATGCCTTCAGCTTTCCTCATCTGGCGGCCGAGGTCAGTCAAATATTTTGTTTTCTTGAATTTTAAGACGCTCTGGTTGTCATCGTCGTCGTCGTCGTCGTCGTCGTTGTTGTTGTTGTTGTTGTTGTTGTTCACAGCTGTGTTTCTGTGCAGATGTGCGACGCAGTGAGCAATCTGTACAAGGAAACACGAGCCTTTCTTGCAACAGATTCAAAGCAACGACCAAGCCTCTTCAGTGCCGGGCAGATCGTGCAGCAGTCTGCCTTTGCCCAAGCCGGGCCAGCCATTGATGTCTTGCGCGATGCGCCCGAGCTTATTCCAGAGGTGCGTTGCTTGTTGGCTTTTTGGCGCTTCCACGAATCGTCTGATTTGAACCTACTGGGTGGCTAGGTGGGTGAGCTACTGAAGCAGCTGAACACCGATGGGCGGGGACCAGCAAATATTGCAGTGCAACGGGTAGAGCGCGTGCACAACCCCGTGCTGTGGGAGCGCTACAGCGCCAAGCGACGCGAGATGTTGCATCGTATCAAAAGTCAGGAGCACTATGATCAACTCCAAGCGTCCACATTAGATGCACCCTCCGGCTCTCCAGCTCTGCTCCGTGATACATCCTGTCAAGAGCGCCTGTTGCTCCACGGCATCGGCCCTGACACAATGCTGCGCGACAAGATTGTGCGACTGGGCCTTGACTATCGCTTTGCTGGCAGCAGTGCCGGCCACCGATTTGGTCTCGGTGTTTACCTGGCCGACCATCCCGGCAAGGTATGGCCGCGCTGACTTTCAATTGCGATTTGTCTATATGAGTGATGGTGTTCTGACGCATTGTGTGCCTACATGATACCAGAGTCATCAGTACGCTCGTGCCGGACCCAACGACAAACGGATGCTCATCATCACGCGAGCACTCCTTGGCCATGCCCATGCCCATCCATCACCTCGTGCTGGGGCGGTGGCACCACCGCTCCTGCCCGATGCGCCCAACAACGAGCGGTGCGTGGAACAAAATCGTGTATTTGTTGCATGTTGACTTTGCCCGCCACCTGATCTGACTTGTTGCGTTTGCCATTGAAATTTCCTTCAGGTATGACTCGGTTATTGCAACGCCGCCTGGGCAATTCCATGAGGTGATTGTGTTTGAGAACGCCCAAATCTATCCCGAGCTGGTTGTACACTACACGGCCAATTAGGAAGAGCTGGACGAGTTTGAGCTGGACGAGTATGGGCTGGACGACTTGCTAGTTGTTCGCGTCAAATCCGTTGTTCTTCCACACTTGAGCACCCCCACCACTTTTGCACATGATCGGTGTCATCCACTCCAAGTCTTTCCACAGGGGAACCCCACTATAGCCGGCACGACTTTCACTGCCTGACTAACATACACACCTGCACAAAGCGCCACTGGACCAGACCTTTCTCATGAGAGGCACATGAGCCAACCTCGCGTGCTTTGGGTACTTTGCATTGGCAAGCAGCTCTGTCTGATGAACTTGTGTTTACCGTTGTGTCTCCCTGTTGTGACATCTGCGGTTGAGCACGAGTTGCACTTTTCTTATCCTCGGGAATAAGCGCTTCGACAGCTATTCTAAGGATGCACCTGGTCTGCTCACTGTGAATGCTTGCCGGCCACAGCTGGTTCAATTGACCTCAAGACACCTCCACTGTTCTTGTTCCATTCCAACGGACGTCTCTCAAACTGAAACAACGGTGCCATCAGGCGCGATCTCTCCTTTCTCACTGGTTCGTGTCACAGATACATGTGTTTGACCTCTCTTGCACACCGGCCGTGATGGCACCCAAGAATGATGGCCGTGAAGTGCAAGTCAACGTGCAAGTGATTGTCATGGTGGTCGACTTTTGGTTGGTCATGGTGTGATGTGGCGTGCAACAGGAGCGTCAGACCATGCTAGGGATGGACGGGTTCACACAACGCTCGTGAAGACTAGCTTTCGAGACAGTCTAATTCGCTGCCCAGGCCGGCTGAATCATCTTTGAAAGAGCAAGGCGAATGGATCACGTCCTCAGCAACAATTATAATTGCTGGACCGAAGGGGAAGAAGCACGAGGAGCTCGAAGGGTCGCTCAGGCGGGAGGGATGAGAGTGATATGGACAGAGGGGTTGTACCGTTTTAGCCAACGAACTTTGAATGCCATGGCTGGCACAGCGGGCAGCACGCGTGTACATGCAAGCCCCAGTTTTTGCGGCTCTTCAAAATCTGCTTGTAAAGGGCTTGGAATTCTTTCCAGCTGTTATGGCAGCAGTTCCGCAACACTTGTTTTCGTCAGACCCGAGAAACAGCGGATTTACGCCCGAATCAGCAAAAAACACCGGCAAACGACTTTTGAAGACCGGGGTCCTGAGCAGAAAAAAAAACACAAAGTTGTGCTTGCTCTCTGAGACAAGTCACGGTTGTTTGCTGCATGCGAGCTGTGAGGGGTAGTTAGTTGTCTCTGTGGATAATGTTGGACTCTTTGTGGCAGTCATGACGCGTCACCTCATCAACGCTGGAAACTCCATTCTGACTGCACCTCACAATTGTGTAAGCTCGAGTTTCGATTTGCACGACTGTCATTTTGGTCAAGCTGAGATTTTGTCGCTTTTGGGCCAAATGGACCTATTGGGGTGTTTGGACCATCTCGTCTCATGCAGCCTCTGTTAAAATCCCAAGTCAATTGGCGCAACGGTCGCCGGGTTATAGTGACCTCAAATAGGCTGGGCCGTGCCATTGCTGAGAAACTCAGTCAAAAGCTCTCCATCGGAACCCCTGGCAAAATCCTTACGGACGCGCTGGTGTGAGGCTAGCTCGGCCCACAGGGCAGCTTCGTCCACCGTCTCAAATACACCAGAAAGGCTTTCCTCTTTCCAACGATGTCAGAAGTGGACATTTGTGCAAATCGTAAGATTTAATTTTTTAGGAATTTTAGCTTATACAATTTGTTCTGAACAAGTGTTCTTCGATGAATTCGATCATCATTGTTTATCGATGACCCCCCTCCCCGCATTTACTTCTTCTTTCCTCTTCTTCCTTCTTCCCCTCTTTGGCATCGGTGTCGACATTGACGTCGGCATCAGCGAGCTGCTTGACGTGTCTTGCTTTGTGTGGTGACTGATTGCTTGTGCTCGGGACCCTCCGATCAGCACTTGTGGTAACGCACTATTTTCTCTTTGGTGAGGCCACTGATCTCGCCTCGCAGTCGACAACGTGCGCTTGGGCAAGCAAGTACACCGGTCCTCGCAACTGTCACCGAGAACTGTTGGCCAAAGGTGAGTCGTTTGCTGCATCAGGCAGGGAAGAGGAAAGACCCGCTGACCGGCTGCCGCTTTGAAAACTGCGCGCGCACGTCGAATTCCAGTCCGAATTTTGGGTTGTCAGACTTGGAGGGGGCTCATGCGATTGATGCTGGATAGAGAAGCAAGAAAACAGAATCTGGTGTTAAAGAGGTACCGTGACCATGAGTGATGATGGACAGCGGCTGTACAGGGCGTGTTGTTCATCAGATCCCCGAGAGGTGCTGCAGCTGTTGACCAGTTGGGACGACCAATGCATTCGAGCTGCTGCCAATTACAAATCTAGTGTATGTGCTGTTTGATATGATGCTGTGTGATATTGGTTACACTTTGAATATGTCACTGAATGAGGTCTAACATCGAACATAAACGGCATCATCCCATAGATTGGCTATACACCACTGCTCTATGCCTGCATTCACGGTCATCTCAATGTGGTGAAGATTCTGTTGAAGCACGGTGCTGATGCTAAAGCCAAGGCCAGGGTCAGTACAGTTCCTTCCTCCTCGCACCTTTACCCCCTACATGATGGTGCACCTGTACCACATGATAACGATGATGATGCTGATGCTGTACCTGTACGTCATGCTGATGCATCACCCAGAATGGCCGTACACCACTGCACGATGCCTGCAGTAACGGTAACGTCAAGGTGGTGGACATGCTGTTGAAGCACGGTGCTGCTACTGAAGCCAAGGACAAGGTCAGTGCAGTACCTCCATGATGGTACACCTGGATCACATGATGATGAAGATGATAATGCTGTATATAACGCTGATGCATCATTCCACAGGATGGCTATACACCACTGCACTATGCCTGCCATCAGGATCATGTCAAGGTGGTGGAGATGCTGTTGGAGCACGGTGCTGATGCCAAAGCCAAAAACAACGTCAGTTCAGTACCTCCCTCTTCACCCCCTTACCCTCCCTTTGTTGATATACACCTGTACCACATGATGATGATGATGCTGTACCTGTACGTCATGCTGATGCATCACCTAGAATGGCCGTACACCACTGCACGATGCCTGCAGTAACGGTAACGTCAAGGTGGTGGACATGCTGTTGAAGCACGGTGCTGCTACTGAAGCCAAGGACAAGGTCAGTGCAGTACCTCCATGATGGTACACCTGGATCACATGATGATGAAGATGATAATGCTGTATATAACGCTGATGCATCATTCCACAGGATGGCTATACACCACTGCACTATGCCTGCGATCAGGATCATGTCAAGGTGGTGGAGATGCTGTTGGAGCACGGTGGTGGTGCTACAACCAAGAACAACGTCAGTTCAGTACCTCTCTTTTCCCCCTTTACCCTCCTTTTGTTGATATACACCTGTACCACATGATGACGATGATGCTGTACCTGTACGTCATGCTGATGCATCACCTAGAATGGCCGTACACCACTGCACGATGCCTGCAGTAACGGTAACGTCAAGGTGGTGGACATGCTGTTGAAGCACGGTGCTGCTACTGAAGCCAAGGACAAGGTCAGTGCAGTACCTCCATGATGGTACACCTGGATCACATGATGATGAAGATGATAATGCTGTATATAACGCTGATGCATCATTCCACAGGATGGCTATACACCACTGCACTATGCCTGCGATCAGGATCATGTCAAGGTGGTGGAGATGCTGTTGGAGCACGGTGGTGATGCTACAACCAAGAACAACGTCAGTTCAGTACCTCCCTCTTCACCCCCTTACCCTCCCTTTATGATGATACACCTGTACCACATGATGATGATGATGATGATGCTGTACGTCATGCTGATGCATCACACAGGATGGCCGTACACCACTGCACGTTGCCTGCCATAAGGGTCATGTCAAGGTGATGGGGATGCTGTTGAAGCACGGTGCTGATGCCAAAGCCAAGGACAACGTCAGTACCTTCCTCCCCCCCCATGATATACACCTGTACCACATGATGATGAAAAAGTTGCTGTGCATGTACGTCGTGCTGTTTGCATCATCCCACAGGGTGGTGAAACGCCACTGCACGTTGCCTGCATTGGCGGTCATGTTGAGGTGGTGGACATGCTGTTGAAGCACGGTGCTGATGCCAAAGCCAAGGACAATGTCAGTACAGGAACTCCCTCTTCCCCTCCTCTCTGGCTACTGCTCCTGCTGCCGCTGCTCGTCGCCTTTGCCCCCCGTTCTTCTCTCCTTCACGCCCTGCCCACCCGTGCTCGTCCGTTCCACCTCTGGCTCCTTTTCTTTTTTCCCGCTATCCCTCTTCTTACCCCGTTTTGCATGATTTCTTCCGCCTGCCGTTCTCGCTCTCCCCTTTTCTGATCTATCCGGGCACCACTCTACCCCTTGCCATCACACCTCTGCCTCGCTTGCGCTCCAGCGGCTTTTGGTGTCCGTGCCTTCAGTTTTGCCCCGGCACACGCGCCGCTCCTTTTTTTTTTTTTTTTTTTTTTTTCCAAACGCGCCTCTTTTCGGACCCCGGTTCCTGCCCGCACTATTTGTATAATGCCCTCGTGTTTGGCGGCTCTGACACACTCTGAAGCTTTGTCACATCGCTCAACTCAACTTCGTGTGGTTGCCCACCTCGCACGTTCCGATCGCTTGACTGTGGCCATGTTCTCAGCGTGGTCAAACGCCCCTCGAATACGGACGTCTATACGGGCATGACGACAAGCTGAAGCCCGTGTTTACTGCCCATGAGGCTTGCCTGGCCCAATCATCCGCGCCCCTTGCTTCGCCCGCGCCTGCACCGCCTTCTACCTGGCTGCCGCCTCTGCCCACCACCCCCACCCTCGAGGTGAGCCTGCTCTCCCATCTTGTTTTCCCCAATGCATTTACTGCCCCAATCCCCACGGCCTCATCCAACCTGATCACGACCGATGGCACCACACAACCCTTAATTAGACCA